TCGTACGTTCGAACAATTTGAAACTTGAACAAAAAATCATATTTAAGGGTTTGAATTTATATCAATTTAAAAATATTGGCAAAAGTTATTCAATTCGGGTGATATTTTTAATTATTCAATAATAATTTTTAAAATTATTTAAGAAAATAAACGATTTTTTAAATCTCCAAATGGACTTATACCATTTATACTATAATAAGAAATAAAAACAAAAGGAAATTTAAGTCCAAATTTTTTATAGACCTTGGCTTTACTATAATCATCAAGTTTATTATGAAATAATTTCATTTATATTAAAAAAAAGTAGATATAAATAAACAACTATAAAATATAATTACTTCGTTAAGATAACTAAAAAATATATGTATTAAACATTATTCTCCTTTACAATTTGCATAGTGAAGTATTCATGATAAATAGGTGGTATATAAGATTGTAAACTCATCATATTGCTGTATTTCTCTCTTATTAAAGGTCTTGACATTTTATACAATAACAATATAGTAATTTTGCTGAGATGTTTGGGTTTTCTTTCCAAATAAGAAAATACTTTAAATGGAACATTTCTTCCATACCAGTTTTGTAAAAACTGTAATATTTTTTTATTAGTTGTATTTGTAACTATAATTTTTAGAAATGTAGTATAACGAGCGACGTTTCGCATAACGAGTGACGATGAGAAGAGAAGTCCCGGATTGCGCACCTTCTACATCACTATCACCTTGTCTAAGTATTTTATATAATGTCGAATTATACACTTTACCGCTAATGTATATATACTATACAACACCTTGTGTAGTCCGGTTTCGATTAGTGCAGATTCACTATAGTCCGCTTTGAAAATTGTAAAACAAACTAATTGAACAAAATAAATTATAAAAGAATAGTTCATATTTTTTTGCGATTTTAACGTCATCGATTAGACCGATTTCAAACAGCGAGGTATTGCTGTAAAATACTCATCTCCACATTTTGTGTTGCAAGTGAATCAAGCAAATTATAAACATTTACTTATCTCTACATTCCAATTCTTATTGCTGTGTTGCGATCTGTTGCCATTTGTCGGAGGTTTGTTTTGTTTTGCTATTGAACATTTGCCGATATTGAGCATACATTGCAAGGTAACTGCATAGACCACCCGATACACGCCACCCATCGAGCAGGAGATGAACAATCATATGCTGTATGCCATGATACTATTTAGTATTTCTACAAAACATTCTAATAATAATAAACATATATTACTAATAATCATTCTCATCTATTTAAAAAAAATGAACTTCTATAGCATCTCAAGGATTATTATTTACTTTTATTAATATTAGAAATTTGCAAAATTCAACTTTTGTTAATATACATTTCTATTCAAATTTTATACATTTCAGCAATATCTCACATAGTGCGGTTTTGATCAGTGCGGATTCACTACTAGTACGTTTTGATTATTATTCACTAAATTTTAAGTAAAAATAAAATCTAAAAAATAGTAGAATTAATTTTGTTTGTATACATAAACTATGTTCCGTGAAAATTTTAGGGTTTACCAGGGGTGGCCAAACTGTGGCTCGCGAGCCTCATGCGGCTCTTCAAGAATCTTGTCGTGGCTAGTTGAGCCACAACAAAACACAAATATTGTATATATTTTATATCATGATTGAGATTTTTATACCAAAAAGTTTAGGTGCGGCTCTTGCTGCAAAAAGTGCTGTATAAGGTCAAGTCTTTTGTGCTTTTATTTTTTAGCGGTTTGAAAGTCCTGGATAAGCTTTCAAAAAGTACCGATTATTGGTAGAATCGATTATCCGCACTATGCGATGTATTGATATACTATTAAGTTTTCAATCTAAATAAGGAAATTGTACTTTTATATATAGATTTGATTATTTTTTTACGAATACAACATTTGTTAATAGATATTCAGGCAAATTATCAATACTAATTATTTGTACCTACATTCTATCAAATTTAACACAGTACTGGATAATGGCCATAACTGTAGATGCCAAAACTATATTTGGTTTCATATCATATTTTACACGAAATTGACAGATACAATCGTAGTTCTAAATTTATATTTATGTATATGTGTCCCCTAGCTTAACATAGTTTATGCCCACCAGAATAACAAGCCGAGCATTGCAACTAGTTCATCCTGTGTTTTCTTCCTCCTTATTATGTTCCCCCTTCTATTTCAGCTGCACATAAATGAAATAACTTGTTTTTCTTTCTTCAATCAATATAAGGTTATTTAAATATTAATTATAACTTTTAATTGTTTCATTAACACCAAACCCGATGTCCAGTTAGATCTTTTCAAATTTAAGCTTAAAAACAAAGTTATTATATCATTATTTATTTCAACGACTTTTAATATTTACTTCTCTCATTTTCTCATTTTAGTAATGCATATTTATATGTATCAGATGCGGTATGTGCATGGATGAGGCTCAACCACAGCATCCATGGCACATTTATCCTATGCATTCACCGCATTTTCTTAGTGAGGTATTAACAAATGCTTAGCAATAATTGTAAGTGAACGAATAAGAAAATAGTTTGCTTTTGCTTAAAATATAGATTTCAATATGAGAAATGTAGATTGAGTGTATGTCGGACTATAAGACGCATCATTTCAGGCAGAGAAATCGAAATATAATTAAGGATCAATTAGGACCATAAGATGTATCCTCGGATAAATTCGTTGTAAAAGAGTAAGTTTGTTTTGTTTAAAATGTAAATGTCAATATCAATATCAGAAATTCAATTACGTATTTTTCGGAGAAGACGCATCTTTTTACGAGAAACTTAGGGATTTTGTCTTATTAAAAGTTTCTAAAAATTGCCTTCTGCCCTATGCTCTGAATGTTAACGTGCAGAAATGCAAGCAAGCGCGGGTAAACGGCGGGAGTAACTATGACTCTCTTTTGTGAGGTGGTCTGGTCTCCTTCAGGATGTAAGTCTTATACACCCTTTTCCAAGTCTTTGACAGGGCACGGGAAGGCGATTACAGAGCATAACCCGTGTCAAGACCGTACACGACACCTCCACGAGGTGGCGCCGCGTAACAACAAAGTCGTGACGGATCGAAACATCCCCCTCATCCCTGTCTGTCGTAAGGGTTGAGAGCCCCGCGTCTAGAAATGCGTTGGTCCTGACAATAAGGAAAAAGCATCGGAAGCCTCACTTACGGGTTGGGGTGTGATTAGAGTTCATAACTCGGACTAGGAACCCATTGGTGACGACAGTATAAATATACGCAATAAGTGGACCTCCTCACACAATACTCCAGAGGTCAAGGCAGTCACAAAGCCTAAAACCGGGTCACCACCGGAAGCCAACGCGGGCTCGTTTACGAAACTAATATACTTTTTCATATGAAGCCAAGAATCTTCTGGATCCAGACCGAGCCCACAAACTATTCAGCAACCAACAAGTGTACAGTCAGTTAGAGCACCCAAGCGCCCCTCCGAGTGAGAAGATTTCCGAAGAAAAGAGGACTGAGTGCTCATATTGCTGTCAACGGTTCGCCTCTTATGAGCTCATGCGTCAGCATGAGTCCCGGTCCCATGGAATACCGAAAGGACTTGAAGGCGAAATTGCCACTCCCCGAATCCGAGCTGTTGGCCAAGATCGAGGCCGGAAGCACGAGGGGAGGCAAATTCTATTCAGAAATGGCGAGGGCTACCGGTCTGACCGAACTCCAGGTCAGGCATCGACGCGAACAGAAAATTTACCAGCGCTACTTGGTTGAGACAAGAACATAGGTTAAGAGAAGTGCAACAAAAATTTTCAACCTTCGCCTTTCGTGCCGCCAACCACTATTTGAGATCTCGTAAGACCCAATGAAAAGGCTATAACGTGGTGTCTTTGGCAGCAACCAGGAAATGGCCCAACACCATATTTACTATCTTGCCCCTGGTGTTGAGCGCTCAGGGCACTAGTGCTAAAAAGAACTCAATAACATCAATTGTTCTAGGAGTCACATCCACCCTCAAGAGGAGGTGTGTGTATTCTTGCCTAAAATGGGGCAGCTCGATCCACGCCACATTTATGAGAACTGCCTGGGCGCAGCGTCCTGGTCTATAACAGCACCAGTCAGTATCCAGGGGCAGACTGCAACCAGCACCGGTGGGGGAACCGCAGACTCGGTCGTCCACAGACGACACCGAGGAAGACGAGGACAACCACCAAGACATCAAGGTGTTGACTAGGTGCCACAGTGATCGGTGAAGTGCGTGTATGTGCCGTTTGCGTCGGCCGGTTACCGACGGGGCAAAGCCTCTCTGTGGTGAAGGCACAACTCATTTTAATATGTTTGTCCATCTATTTTATTAATTTCTAGTCATTTTTCTTATACATCCGATTTTAATTTGTTGTTTAGTTATTTACATTTTAATTTCTATTAATTTATTGCTAATATAATTTTATGAGTTATTTGTCCACATTTTATATTTACATTAATTTTAATTTGTCCATTTTGTTACTTTGAATTTTTATAATTTTGTCGCGCCACAAAACTTTTCGGCCTTTGGGGAGTTGCATCGCGCCGTCAAGATTTTTGCAGAACCGAACAATCCTCATCCACATGTTTGTTCATCTATTTTATTAATTTCTAGTCATTTTTGTTATAGACCCGATTTTATTTTTTTCTTTAGTTATTTATATTTTAATTTCTATTAATTTATTTATTGCTAATATGATTTTATGAGTTATTTGTCCACATTTTATATTTACATTAATTTTAATTTGTTCAATTTTTTACTTTGAATTTTTATTATTTTATTATAATTCACGAACTATATATTGTATATATGTGTCTTCTCTTTTATAACAGGTTATGTCGGACGATTGCGGATAATTATATATTTGTTATATATGTCTGTAATGTCGCACATGGGCGCCCTGTACTGCCCATTTAAATAAGTGCACAAGTCCACAGCGGACTGCCGCCGTTAGCTGAAATGTACATAGTTTAATGAAAATAAATGTATTAAACTAGCCAAATGCCTCGTCTTCCAATTGTGGATGACGCGCATGAATGGATTAACGAGATTCCCTCTGTCCCTATCTACTATCTAACAAAACCACTGCCAAGGGAACGGGCTTGAAAGAATCAGCGGGGAAAGAAGACCCTGTTGAGCTTGACTCTAGTCTGACACTGTAAGGAGACATGAGAGGTGTAGAATAACTGGGAGGTCCTCACGGGCCGAAAGTGAAATATTTCTACTCTCATCGTTTCCTTACTTACTCGATGAGACGGGGTGCATACATCATCATGTATTAACTTCCAATAACATAATAATAAGCGTGCTTAGCTGTAACGACATTTAGATTGCAGAATATGTAAGTATCTATGCTTTGTTAGTTTACTAGTAGGCGGTTTGAGTATGGGTAGAAAGTGTGAGTGACCTCTTATTCAGTTCTAGACATGTCTAGTTAGTCTGTCTATACTTATATGTAGGTGAAAAGTATACATGTATGATCTTAGTCCAAATAACGCATTGATTAGTAATGAATGCTCATAATAAGCACAGTCATACTTCGATTAACGGATAGGATGTGTATCACGAAATTAGTTTATTTACAGAAGTATAAATATTACGTCAAGAATGGGTATACGTTTCTTCGAAAAGGAAATGGAAAACTTTACTCAGAAAAGTTTTATTAAATTAACGACAACTTTCATAACATACACAGTGAAAACATTAAAATGTGTTATAAAATCGCTTAAAAGAAAACTTCTTAATACATAATATATTTTTGAAGACGCCGATGGCGCCACCGTAACCCTAAATGGCGAGCGTTACAGGCATATGCATTTTCCGCAAGTTTCTGCATTGGTTCTGGATCATTGTTGGTTTCAACAGGAAGGAGCAACCGCTCACACAGCTGGGGAAACTATGGAGATTTGACACCAATTTCCAGGTAAAGTGATCTCCCGTTTTGGAGATTTGAACTGGCCATCCATGACTTCTTCCTTTGGGGCTTTTTAAAATCTCGCGTTTACCACAACAAACCACGAACCTTGCAAGTCTTGAAAGCTGACTTTGAAGAAGAAATCGCCAATTTTGAGCCAGATGTTTTGAGAGTAACAATTGAAAATGCCGTAAAACGAGCGCAATTATGCAACAACTCGGGAGGTGGGATATATTTTTTTCCATGTAATGAACGCATACAAAAAAAATTGCACTGAGAAAATACGTCAAACATTTACGAAATACATGATAAAGTTCACCCAAACAAAATAAATAATTAAACTACGCATGTAAAATTATTTTTTTTTTTCATAAAGTTTATAATTTGAAGTTTATAATTTTTTACTTATTTTTCTGTATTGGCCACAAAATAAATTATAATTATATAAATACATAAAAATGAATACGTATTTATAAATAATTAAAAGAAGTTATTATATATCAAGATATGACTAAATAATTGTTGGAAGAAACATTATTATGTTATACAATTACTATCAATATAAATAAAATTTCACACGTTTTTGTATCCATAAAGTATACTCTCTTCATTAGCTTTGTGAACTAGCTGACTCACCTAGACGACCAACAGCTATAATAATTTCATGGTTGAATGAAGATTTTACTACAGTCGAGAAGAACAAAAGCAGCTTTAAATATTATCTGTGACAAAGACATCAATAAGTTGAAAGAATGATTTGGTACAATTTCATTTATTTCAAAATCTAGATTAAAAATTAAATTATATATAATTCAAAAGCACACGAATTAGATTGGTGATAAATAATACATAAAAGTTTATTGACTTGAGCTCTTGCCTTCAAACTAAACATAAGTGACAATAGTCAATTAAAAAAGTTTAACCATACATAAATATAATCAGCAAAACATAGCGAATAAATTAGTAAGAAAAAACACTGATCAACCATAAGGACAAGAAGAAAATGTAAGAAAACGATTCATTCTTGTCTATGGGTGAGATACAATTTACAATTCCAGAGAATAAGAAGAAAGTCAAAAAGAAAAATCCGACACATGAAAGCCAGAATGCAAAGAGAGCCGATTCAGGAAATATCATTGGTGATACTTTTTAAATAATAAAAGAACTACACAAGAAATGATAAATCGTACATGAACTAGATCAAGAACTAAGAGAGGTTTAACTACAACACCAAAATATAACAAATAATACTAATAAAAACAGAAAAATACAAAAACCCAACAGACATCAACCATATGAAAATTAAAAAAAACATTCCTACCTATACCATTACTATTTAAAAAATAATATAAACTATTTTAAAACAACCTATGGTAGATTATTAGGAAAATCTGAATGGTGATGGAAATAAAGAGCAAATAATAAAAATGAAGACTGGTTTCCTGATTAAAACAAACATAAATAAACACTTGGAAGAACAACTATCAATAGACAAACACAACTAACTTAGCAAAATAAAGCTGAAATGACTGCAACAGAGGAGCATCAACAGAAAAATATGATATAAAAAAAATAAATTATTACAGTTTAAAGATTATTTTGAAATGCAATTAGTAAAAATCCGAACTATACAATCATAAAATTGAATTCATCCGTTATATTTGATTTTATTGTTTATATATATTATTTTAATACAGAGCAGAAAGACCATAAAGTTTTCTTACAATTGTTATTTTTTATTTTATTATTGTGATTATATAAATATGTATTATTTCGTATGTGTTTTTCTGGCTATTATAATAAATATTATTATTTTAATATATGTAAACATATACAAATAACAATCTACAACATATGATTATGATTACGATTAATTAGTCATTGAGTATTTTCACTTTATACTGCAATACTTTGATTAGATCAGTGAGCATTCACTATATACTAAATTTTATTATTTTTTATACATGATCGGTTTTTAAAAAAAATCTCATTTTGTTCGATTTATTTTTTATATGTATTTACTTTCTGGATTATGAAAACATCTTTAATTTTTTAATGCGGACTTTTTACCCATATTGATTAATTAGCTAATAGTATATGGTTTTATCTATTAGAAGTGAATCAAAACACTCTTTCTACTTATTGGTTTTATGGAGAGAAACATCTTGATTTGTCAATAGAACCTAAAGTCATTTATAAAATATGACCCTGTTTTAAGGATGCTCCATTTTAAATAATATAAGGAAACCTAGGTATAGCCTGTTTCGTTAATAGTCCACAGATGACAGCTTTGTAGCAATAATATTATTCACTTGTTCTTCACAGTTTTAATTGGTACGAACAAACAAAAATTAATACCACAGTTTACAATGTAAACTTTACACAAATATTTTACAAGCTCCATTACATAATCAACACATGGCTGTGCTATATTGGCCGAGATACCATCCACATCCGGGCAATTACTAGAATTTAAGTGACTAGGGCAGTAAGACCAAGGTCTAGCATAGTGTTGTCAATGTGTTTTTGTATTAGTAAAAATCGATGTCCCTACTGAATTTACATTTATTTACACATGTTTTCTGAAATTAGGTATTAGGTCAAATTAACGTTTCTATTTACATATACATAAATCGGGTCTATAACGCAAGCCCGACAACCGAAAGACCGTCTATTGAAATCCCGACGTTCGAAATCCCGGCTGTATTATAATCCCGACTATGTCAAAATCCAGACTATATCGAAATAGATAAAGTCGGGATTTTGATTGTCAGTATTATGGTAGTCGGGATTTCGAACATCGAGATTTCGATAGACGGGATTTCGAACATCGGGATTTCGGTTGTCGGTCTTGCGATTGCCACCGACATAAATCATGCAATAGAGAGTTAACATCATACAAATAATCACATATGCACGTCTAAGTAAAATTGTGACCATAGATATTTAGAAAGAAAATTTGTTTTTGACAAAAAAAATGCTTTGGAGATTTGGGTTTGATTATCAAAATCACAAAGTTTTACAATAAAATTCTTAGTTTTAAATTGTAATGAATTTGTCCCGTGCATTATAATGATATATATGATATTATACCGTGAAGAGAATTATTGATTTATATACATGTATGTGCAGTTGCATATGATATACAATTGTTATATAAAATCTAAATATAAACTTAAATTTCCCGCTTTTAATTAGTCAGATATTTTTTTAATTCGTTTTATCGAGTCATGTTTTATAGTATTTTTTATCTTTTATAATTATTTATGTAATATTTAAAAATTCTTTATTAATTCATATGGATTAAACTATAGAATTTATGCCCGAATAGAAAATATTGAAATTGATATCTTATAATAAAATAATATACAGCATAAAATTATTAATATTCAGGTTTTTCTAAATTGTTTTCCAAAAACTTAGTAATATATAAAACAGAAAAATAAACAAAATTTAAATATAGTTAACTCCAATGATAAATTTATTAATAATAAAGTTTTGCAACTAAAATAGCAATGTATACTAAATGGAATATAAGTACATTTTTTGTTTTCAACATCATTACAATTAATGAAATACAATCGATTTCGCTTAATTCGGACAGCTGTTAATCGGGACAGCCGCTTATTAGGGACAAATACTAAAGAACGGAAACAAAACCGAGCAAATAACAAATGGAAATGGAACTTCGGATAATTGGGACAGCCGCTTAATCGAGATGTCCCGATGTTTCCCTATTAAGCGGTATCGGCTATTGGAAAATTAATTGAAGTATAGCATTACCTCCATAGTATTTTTACCATCAGTCCGTATTCACTATTGAACTAATGCAGAAAAATAAATTCTGTAAAATTATTACACAAATAGTTTATATATGTGTGTGTATTTTGTATATTACTTTATGTATTGCTGTATAAATTAACTTTGTTCAATGTCAAAATTAATATTTATAGTTTCAATCTAAAGTAAACAGTAACAAAATGAATACTTTATATGTTCTTAAAAAAATATAAAAATTCACCATATTCATAATCATATTTTTCGGTTGTTTTCGTGCTTAAGACCCGAACAACTTCGAATGTGTCTGGTATATTTATATACCAGGAGAACATTAATTAAAGAAGGAAATGATATTGAGTTTTCTCCACTTGCCTCATGCTATATTTTTAATATACACACTTTTGTCGAATGCAAGTGTAGTTATACTGTTTCATAGTTAAAATATATTTAGTTATTTAGAAGTTAACACAACGTATTCTACTCTTAGTAATTTAATGATTAGTGCAAAAAAAAACAATATTGATTATATCCCATACACTTCGAGGTGTATAATAATTTAAATTATTACAATCTTTATATTATATAACTTTTTAGAAATAATTTGGAAATTCAACTCAAATTCAATTACTGTAAGCATATATAATTAATATTGTAAAAAAATGAAATAAGCTCATAATGGTTCAAATAAGAGATAATTCGTTTAATTTATATTTATATATAAAAATATTCTCACATGCTTCAATAAATTGCAATAAATCTCGTGACGGTCCTGAATATTATTATTGATTTTTGTCGAAGTGCGTTCAGTTGCCTATGATATATCATTTTCATATGCATCTTCTTGTAATCTTTAATTATACTGTCATCAGTAATTAGTAACTATAGCTCTTGTTTATAGTCATTTTATGTAGTGGTCTGTCATTGTTCTCGTACTCTTTATCATCTATTGATGTTCTCATTACATCAGAATTCATCTAACTGCAGGATTAAAAAACAAGGTTTGTTTTTTATTTTTTTATCAACTATTGTAATACTTTAATTTACACTGTGGTATAGAAACAATAATTAATATAAAATACATTATCCTATTCATATGCGTATATATGAATAGGATATGGTATATTTCTAGAAATGTATTTTATAAACTTATTTATATATTTATTCTAAGAATTATTTTTTATTATACTACTATAAATATTATACATTGCTATAGTATAACTTTTATTTATTATTTATTATGTTTTAAACATAATATGAAACAAATATTATTTACATTGTATATATTAGTATTTATACGTACTGCATTTTGCAATAAATATATTGGTGTAGGATCAGAGCGTATAAATAATTTAATAGTTTATTACAACATATCATTAGTTTCTGTATACTGGTTTAAATTTGTCCTAAATATAAATTTAATTTTGGGACTTTTATATATATTTTAATATACCGTCATATTTCGAAGCAAATAAAAAAAGAAATGAAAAAAAAATAGTTTTAATTGAATGTCAGTACAATTTTTTTATTCTGCGCAATATTGCTAATGTGTTTATGTGATTTTATTGCTTAGTTATACGGTTGAATATGGAGTCATATAGAGTCAATGAATATAAGTTCTTGAGCTTTCGAAGGGTATGCGCTATGCTAGCTGCAAAAGGACTCAGAGCAACACGTACAGAGGCAGCATTGGTGATCGCTGGAGTTCTGCCTGTTGACCTTCGAATAAAAGAAATGGCGCAGCGGTTCAGAGGTCGAAAATTAAGCGTGAACGATTATTTGAAGTTCCTCGAGTCCAGGATGCAAAGTCAGCAGATTGAAGGAACCATGTCTACTCAGGACAGAGAGAATCCAGTGGAAATATACTCATTGGAATACCAAGATGGAGAGGAACACGCATTCGATACAAAGGTGTATACTGACGGATCAAAATGCGAGAATGGTGTTGGAGCGGCATACGTGCTTTATATTGGCGGGAAGGAGGTCCATCACCGTAAAATGAGGTTAGCAAACTACTGCACCGTCTTTCAGGCTGAGCTTCTCGCCATCAACAAAGCTCTGAAACATCTTTGGGAGAACTCCGAGTTCTTCGTGGAGTGCTCCGTGGTTTCCGACAGCAAGTCTGCCTTGGAGGCTCTCAGCTATCTTGAGGCACGGTCTTCTCTCCAGGTTCAAACCTGGGAACTTGCCCAGTCGGTGATGAGGAGAGTTAAGCTTTCTTTGCATTGGACAAAAGCTCATGTTGGGACCGTTGGTAATGAGAGGGCCGATGAGTTAGCCAGGCAGGCTTCAGGAGCGAACCGTCATAACCACGGAATAATTCACTTCGCCCCAGTATATGGTAAGTATTATTGAAGTACGAATAAAAGAATAATCTCTGGGGTTTTGTTTTAGACTATCCGAGCCAGGTGGAATCATCAGTCATGGATGAAAAATCTCATTTCGTAGATCTCCAGATGGCGGATGACTGGGGTCAAACTGCTCCGCGAGAAGGATCAACAAGTACACGACCACGAGACGTCTGGAGAATATCTTAGACATATCCGACAGATAGATTTTTTCCTCTGCAGCTACGGCAGCAAGGATATGGTCCGTGGTGCGCTGCTGGTTCCACTGTGTACAGTCCACTTGGCATGGCGTCACGTTACCAAGACACGCAGAACCATTTCATTACAGTGATAGCTCCTCCACGAGGACGACATCCAGAACCTCCAGTATACCCAGGTCAACCATACGTGTATATGGAGAACATTTGGCCGCAAGGCTATACGCCTTCGAAAAACTTTTACAAAGTAAGGATATTCCAGGAAAGACGCGAACCATCATTCAACGGTAAGACGAACCAGATCGGGGACATTCACCAACACAGGTGGTTTAGTGAATAAAACTTTTAGTAGGACATAACTAGATTTAATATTCTAAATTTTATTTTATCAATTTGCTTTTATATAAAATCATTTGCATGTAGAAATTCGATGTAGTGCAATGCATGTTCAAATCTTTATTAGTAATAAGTAAGCAATCGAGTGCTTAGTAACTTGAATTAATTCTAAATTTTATCAACATGATCTGTATTTTGCAAAACAAATATTCTTCTACTAAATGCTGAATTGTGTATGATGTTCAATTTTGCTACACTTCTTACTCACCAACTATAAAAGGCATATCAGAAAATACAAATATGAAATCAATATTGAACCAATAACTAAAACAAAACTTTCCAGTCAATAATCTTTTGAGAATAAAACAAAGTCAGTAGGAAAATACATAAAATAGATGATCATTTTAAAAATGATAAAATAAAATATTCATTATTGATGTCCAATCTTTTAGCAATTGTCTGTCTTAAAGTGTAATTGACAAGTATACAAAAAATAATATCTAAGTTTTAAATTAATATAACTAAATTATAATTAGTATTAAATGATTAAATTTTAATAAATTAACATTTAAGAAAGAAATATAATATAATCTATCTATAAATTATAGGTTCCAAATTATTTTTGCTGTATATTCTTATATTATTCATATTTTGGATTAAAAAATAGCTACCTTTAATTAAATGTTTAGAGATATTCTAACAATATTTATTCTATAAATACATATTGACAGCAGTCTAATATCAAAATCAACTAAATTTATCATTTTTATTTTCTTTTTGAACCCGAAAAAGTAAGCTTTTAACGTAAGTCGTGTAAGCTTGTGTACCGGGAGAACATGAATTGGAATAGAGTGAGATATTGATTGTATTCTTATTATACTACTTTGGCCATACAACTTTTTTTTCTCGATATGTATTATTATATTTTCACATAATTATACAGTCTTCATAGTATTATACAATATTAAAGCATTTTTGCAGGTATATAACAATAATGTGGAATATTCTGAAAGGCTTTTGAAGATCACTTTTTTAATTGAAAAGTATAAAGTTTAGTAAATATTTACTATGCGCTTTTGACAAACTAATATTAACATAAAAAAAATTGGTGAATTAAAATTAAATATGCATTATCTAAGAATATTTAATGTATAGTTTCTTAATGGAAACATTTTAATTGAATAGAAAAATCTACAAACATTTTATTGTCGAATAGTTATTAATAATAATATTTAACTGTTCTACCAAAAATAAGTAAAAAAAATAATTGATAATAAATAATAATATGATAAAAAAACGTTGCAAAGGACTACTGAGAGTCACATATAAACAAATAAGAAAATTAAAACAGATTTATATGATCATATTAAGAATATATGATCCTAAATTATGTAAAATAGCATTATAATTGGATAGTATTTAAGGGTTCATATAGATTGTGTTTTTTTTAGTTTTTGTAGAAATCTTCATTTACATTCATAGACAGAGGTTTGACGAATCGCCGAATATTTATATAAGTGTTCTGATAATAATTTTCAAAAAAATGAAATAATAAATAAAATTTAATGTATACAAATGGCTATTGGCCGCATATAAAATAATTATACAATAACAATAACTTATTTCAAACAATGAAACACATACACAATTTGTTACTATAAATTTTTAAATATCAGTTTTTTTTTTGATAAATTTGTAATTTAACAGATTTTAGTTTTTGCATTGAGTATATAATTTTTATTTTTGATATATATATCGTCGATTCCGCTTAATTGTCCCAATTAATTGTAATCCCGGTTAATCGGGACAGCCGCTTATGAGGGAAACAAAACCAAGCATTTGGAACTTCGGATAATTGGGCCAGCCGCTTAAACTTGGTGTCCCGATTAAGCAGAATCGACTGTATTTGTAGTTATCTAAGTATAAAAGCAACTGAAAAATTGTGCGGATTTTTTTTTCATTTACATTTTTTGTATACTTTTGTTTACTTCGTCATATTTTTATAGTTACAAAATATAAAAAAAAATAAGTGTAATTTTTTTTTTAAATCATTAAACATACTTCATTGTACACATGCAAACAAAAGCATATATGAGGGCTATTGGCCGCAGTCGTTTTGCCCTATTTTATTATATTAATATATGTTTTGTGAAAATTCTAATACCTGTTCAAATTTTTTTTGGAAATATTCGGTTGTAATAAAAAAAATTAATCACTTATACCCCCCACATATTTTATTTTTTCTAAAAACGTATAAAAGGTTATGCAGCAATACCTCACATAGTCCGAGTAATCTAGACTGTTTGAAACCAGACATATCTAGAAAATACTAACAGACACGTTTTTTTTATACATAAATATAAAAAAAAATATTTTGAACAGTAATATTTTTAAATTTATTTTTCTCTCATTTAATATTTAATTTATTTCGATATTTTCAAACTGCACTATAGTTAATCAGGATTGATCGAAGACGGACTATGCGAGATATTGCTGTACTATAATTATAAACATTAAATGTATCATTTCATTAATAAGTATAATATTGAGATGCTAATTATAAAAAAATGTCACTCATATATTTGGATTAATTACACAAGTAATCATAAACAAAATTTAGTCTTGAAATAATTCCATTTTTAATATTTTTATTAATAGGAATGATACATTTTCCAATTGGTTTCTATATAGAATACTGATATTTGAAAACAGATTTATTTTTTTCAAAAATAAGTTATTATATCGTTTTCTTTCAGAATTGAACAGATGCAAATCTTTTGGTAGCCTTCTATATATTTTAAATATTAAAACTTGTCTTTAACTTATTTAGGCTTATTAAATTTGCAGTATTTAATTAGATATTATTGCAATATATTTCATATATCTTTACATTTTAAAATATTTTAAATATATGTTTTTTATTTACAGTTATAATTAATACCTTCCAATTGAAGTTTAACATCGATACAACTAAATATTTCAATTTCAATTATAGTCATGATTCATATTAATAAATTATATTTTATTTTACTACAGTCAAATTATATCTCTAAAACTTGATATTATTTTAAGTTTGCATATTGAAAGGATCAATTTCATTTTTTAAAATTATATCACAAGGATATACAAGGATACTTTATTTTTGTACATGACAGTTACCTGACGCCGGTTCTATGATGAATTATTGATTCCTGTCGGAATAAGTTCAAGGTTAATTGCTGACCCAATACATATGCAACGATGAATCTGTTCACATCCTACAATTTGTTGGAGTCAGTTGTCTTATGTTATATGCTATTTATTTGGTATATCTTCGTTTTATTGGTAAGTAATTTCTGTAATTATAGTTTATAATCATTTAATTTATTGTTGTTTGTTATAGCTAATAAAATGCATTCCCATTTTTCGTATGGGAAGGATACACATCGCTATTCCTGGATTCCCTTAAAGGGAAGAAATCTTTTCCCTTGGACGATGTAGGTTAGTGAACATATTTTTACATATTTCTTATTAATATTTATTATTTCAGATACTCAAGATAACTTAATTATTATATTAAATATGTCTATTTTCATCTATTGCTAATTTCCAGACTTACGATGTAGGAAAAAATATGGAACAGTATGTATTTTTTTTTAGGTTTACATATAAAATGTATTTAAGATATATTAATTTATGTTCTTGAAATTTTTTTAATCACAAAACTTATTTTATTTGCTTGAAATAAAACAAATAACACAAACTATGTATAAACCGATTATTTCATGTTTTTCAAATTATTCCATTTCTTTTTCAATCTAAGGAATAAGTTATAAAATATAGACAAATATTATATATGTAATTCTGAAACATAAACATTTTTGCAATAATAATTATATTATTCCATATGTAACAAATGTATGCTTCATTCTTTACTCAAACAATATTAAATATAAGGTTCTAAAATTTTTGTAATATAAAATGTTATGTCTGTTTCTTTCATATATTTCTTTACATATATATTTCTATAAGTTTATTATACTTTTTTTTATCATTATTCTGTCATTATAAAATTAATATTATTTTGTACTTTTTTATAAATACTAATATAAATACTAATTCTCATAATATATATCATTTCTTTCTATATTTTTATAATACTTTTACAAAAAGTTTTGTTACTGTCTTCAAAATTTACGGCATCTTCAAAATAAACTTAAGAAAGTTGAAGAATATCTAACTAAGAAATATTTTCTTAGTATACAGTAGATATTCCTCAACTTTCTTTCTAGTTGATTTTAATTATCAATTGCAAAATGTATTTATGTCTCTTATCTTTCATTCTGTATGAACCATAAGAACAGAAATACAGCAATACCTCGCATAGTCCGGATTCACTACAATCCGTTTTTAAAATATCAAAAGAAAATTTTTATTGAACAAAATTAAAACAAATTCTAAAAAACTAATATACAAAGTATTTTTGATATATAAATGTTCTTTTTTTTCATTTATATAATCAAATCTTTCTTTGTGCATTATATTTTATGCATTTTAAAGTACTCCATAAATTCGGAAAAATTTGCTGTACAGTACATGAAACAAATCTATAATATAGATTTAGATTTTAAGTTAAGCACAAATAAAACAAAGTCAACATAATTTATAAAGTAAGAATACAAGAAAAGGAAATCC